GTTGTTTGGAAGAGCCATTGCTTTAAACAGGATTGTTCTTTCTATGATCAATGGTGTGCAGCTTTTGATGAAATCATCTCCTTGCATCCTGTTTTCCTACTGGAGAAACAGGTGTCCATGACAGTGAAAAATACTCCCCACCCCCAGCAGGTTTTTTTTCCCAGTTTTGTTTTTAATGTTGTGTTTTCATGTTTGTTTTATTAAATTGTTTTATATTGTTATTAACCACATTGGGTCCTGGGATGCCTAGGAGAAAGGTGATTATATACATACTTTAAACAAACAATATTCTCATCTTTTTAGATGTATCTGCAAGCCTTTGATAGAGGTGATTGATCTACTTTAAAAATAGTGTTTAGAAAGTACAGTGAGGTTAAGGAGAGAGAGAATTCCAATGTTTTGGTCTTTTTGTTTGATCAGACTTGGACTTTCTATTGAGGATATGGATTTACCTTTTTGGAACTTCTCTTACGAAGTCCCACAACACTCTGTGCTTATCTATAGCTCTGGGGTTGGGCACCAGTCCTATAGCTTATTAATTGAGCCTCTGAAGCAGCTATCCCTGCCCTAAGCCAGCACTTGGAAGCCATGGTCCAGGGACTTTAGTGGAACAAGCTGAAACTAAATCCAGTCAAGAAAAAGGAGACTTGGAAGTAGATGTTCTGGAGGGAGCACACTCATCATTGGAAGATCCCATGAAGAATTTGGAGGAAATCTTGGACATAGCATTGTGTAACTGAAAAAGGCTGGTATAGTGAGGAGTTTCTTTTAGTTTTATCTTGTTTGCCATTGTAAAATTGGGGGAAACTAAGGCCTCGGTCACATGGGCAGGAAACTGCGGGGGAGAAGCGTGGCTGTTTGCCCTGGGGCAAACTACTGCGCAGTTAAGTGATCAGACCTCCCGTTGTGTGGCTTCTGTTCCGTGTTGGCGGAAACTAAACTATGCAAAACTGAATTATCCTAGAGAACATTTCTAAGCAGGCAATAGGGTAGTACCATACAAAATGATTCACAAAGCTACATGGATAAATTATTCGGGACTGTGTATACCATTGTGTATAGTTTGTTGTAATTTGAATCCTCCTATGTACTTTTGAATCATTTAATGTCTCATATTAAAACTTATGCTTTGCTTCAGTTCTGACTTTTTAGACTTTTGTTTTTTCACCCGAATCTTAGTTGTTGCTTATTGAATGTCCCATCTATTGATTGTATTGACTCACTCTGTATAATCTGCACTGAGTGCCAATGAGAAAAGTAGACTATAAATTTATTTTATTTTATTATTTTATTCATTTGATTTATATCCTGCCCTCCCCACGAAGGCAGGCTCAGGGTGGCTTACAGTCATATATATATATAAATACATTATACAAATACTAAAACAGATAAAACAGTTAAATAATGTAAACTTTTTGGATGACACTTCCATTTTAGATCCCTTCCTGTCTGGCTTTGCCCAGGTCATGGACAAAGACGGCACTTAGGAGGCATCTGGATCGGGGCAGATTGGCCATGCTGTTGTTGTTGGACCTGTCAGCAGTGTTCAACATGGTTGACCATCAGCTACCGATCCACTGCCTCGCCAACATGAGAGTTCAGGGGCTTGCCTTGCAAAGGCTTACACCCTTTCTCTAAGATCGGGGACAAAGGGTGGCACTCGGGGAACAGCTATCCCAAAGGCACCCACTGGATTGTGGAGTACCCCAAGGGGCGGTGCTGTCCCTGATGCTCTTCAATATCTATATGCACCCCCTTGCCCAGATTGCCCGGAGGCATGGGCTGGATCGTCACCAGTATGCAGATGACACCCAGCTCTATCTGTTGTTGGGCAGCCATGCTGACTTCAAACCGGAAGATCTAGGCTGAGTGTTACAAGCCATGGCTGGTTGGCTTACACTAAGCCGGCTGAAATTGAATCCAACGAAGATGGAGGTCCTGTGTCTGGGTTGTGGCTGCCCGGGGGTAGAGATCTTACTCCCGACCTTCGATGGGGCACCACTGGTGCCAGTGCTGGAGGTTAGGAGTTTGGGAGTGCTCCTGGGTGGCTCCTTAACAATGGAGGCCCAAGTAGCAACCACTGCTGAATCAGCTTTTTACCATCTTCAGCTGATCAGGCAGTCCCTTCCTCGAACACAATGACTTGGCAACAGTGATCCACGCGATGGTCACCTCGAGATTGGACTACTGTAATGCTCTCTACATGGGGCTGCCCTTGTCTCAGATCCGGAAGCTGCAGCTGGTGCAAAATGCTGCAGCCAGGCTCTTGATGGGTCTCCCTGTGGGGGAGCACATCCAGCCCATGCTAAAACCATTACACTGGATACCGATAGCATACCAGATCCATTTCAAGGTGCTGGCTCTTCCACCGGACCTTCAATTAAGGAGCTGCCTTTAACAGCTGAAGATAGAGAGCCCTGCCCCCTGGAGTCATCAACAAGAGCAGTCTGTGCCAGCTGCCTAAAGGAAATACCTACGAGCCAACTGCAAGAAGGGACCATTGATTAACGGCTGCCATTGCTAAACACTATATGACTATTAGCACTTTATTATATTAGATGGTTTTAGTGGGTTTTTAAATTGTTTTAACTGTAACTCATATGTTTTACTCTGTGTAAGCTGTCCTGAGCTGGCCTCGGCCAGGAAGGTGGGGGTATAAATCTGATAAATAAAGAAATAATATCATCATTTCCAGTCTTCAACTGGCAATCTTCCTTTCTCAAAGGACATTTTGTTGATCGATTATTGTTATTGAGGTATTTAGTTAATCACAGTCTGAACCTGTTCTTTTTAATTATATATGACGTTTTATTGTTTTACTTATTATATGCCTTGATGGCATGTATGTCTCAAGCTGCCTTGAGCTTTTGGGAAAGGCAGGGCATGACTGTTTTAAAATAGCCTATTTTAAATAGTAATATGTCCTCTGAAAGTCACATGTTCAAACCAGTAAGTGCTTTCCTCTAATGCTGGATGCTTAGAGTTGGTTGTGGTTACTTAGAGATGACAAAAAGTCACATCTTCATAAGCATGGCTTCTTAGCTACAACATCATGTACTTTCAAAGGATAAGCCCTACCTTTGAAAGAGACTATTAGGACTTAACCCTGCCTTGGATTTAACCACCACAGAATTTGCCATTATTTCATCATATCGGGAAGGAGAGCAGGCGTATCAACTGCTTTTGAATAAATGTATTAGACCAAAAGTTCAGGGAACATGAGAACTGCATAGTACTTCCAATTAAGTTTCTGAAGTTATCTATCATCCAATCTTTTGTCTGAAATGGTACACTTAGCTTATAAAGAAGGTAAAAAGAAAAATATACATCTTTGTAACAGAAAAATATTTTACATTGTATATACATATACATTGCAAAAATATAAATTTAAAGATTTAATTTGTTAAACAAATGTGTCTTTGGTAAGAACGCCTGGGTAGCAGATTTCTATAAACTGTACATTCAGCATGCATCCAGCATACACGTTGTCTTTTTTCTGCAAATAGTTTTCTTGGCAATGCATTCACATAATTAATTTAATTGGAACATAAGCTATGGTTTGTGGATAATAACAGATTCTTTAGTTCTGAAGAATATTTTCATTACATAATCCAGTTAATTTCATTTGTTGCATTGAAAATATAACTTCAAGAAAAGATTTAAATAAGATAATGCAACTGTAACACAGTGCAGAAGACAAAATATCCCTGTTTGTGAAATGATATATTTATATATTACAGAGATAAAATAAATACATATACAATTCTCAATGTGGTTCCATCTATGGATAGCTTTGTCTGGAGACTGGGACTGTGAATAGACCAGATAGATCTTTCTACAAACCTCAGGAAATATCCAGATTTTCAGAAAAATCTGAAATCTAAAAAAGAAAAGTACAAGGCAAGTAGGAGGCAGGGCCCTTTCAAGGGCTGTTCTGGCATTTGAGGGAAAACTGATTGGGGCCTGGCCCATTAGCAACCACAACGTGACATGCTACCATCAAACTTGCATGACTCACCTAGGCCTAGCTGCTTGATACTGCTCAACAGCAGCCACCCCACAGACCAGTGTTAGAATTGCAGTTGTTAAGAGTCTCAGAATAGGACCTGGGAAACTCAGGTTCAATCCCCACGTTGCCATGGATGTTCACTTAGTTATATGGGCCAGTCACATGTTTTCAGCCTAACCTACCTCACAGGGTTGTTGTCAGCATAAAACAGAGGAGAATGATGTAAGCTGCTTTGGGTCCCCATTGTGGAGAAAGCAGGGTATAAAGGAAGTAAATAAATGATATTACTGAAGTAGGGGGGCAGGCAAAAAGTAGGTGGGTGAGAAGAAAAAATGAAGTAAGGAAAGGAGATACAGGGGGAAATGAGTTCTGCCCCCCCAAGTCCCCCACAAGCATATATAGGGAGATTGGCTGGTGGGTGGGAAGGAGAAAGGCCATGACTATGGGAGCTATGGGCTGCAGTGGCTCAAGTGGTAAAGATGCTGAACTGCAGACCGGAAGGTTGGTAGTTCAGCAGTTCGAGATCCGAGTGCCGCATAACGGAGTGAGTTCCCGTTTTTGGTCCCAGCTCCTGCCAACCTAGCAGTTCGAAAGCAAGAAATTGCAAGTAGATAAATAGATACCACTTTGTTGGGAAGGTAACAGTGTTTTGTGCACCTTGGTGTTTGGTTATGCCGGCCACATGACCACGGAAATGTCTTGGAGAGCACTGGCTCTTCGGCTTGGAAATGGAGATGAGCACTGCATCCCGAGAGTCGGATTCGACTGGCTTTCGAGCAAGGGAAACCTTTACCTTTACTATGGGAGCTTTCAGGGAAGGGAAAGACAGAAGAGTGAGTGAGAGGAAAATGAGATCCTCCCCGCAACTTTTTGTGGATCCCCCACTTGTACAACTGCAAAATGCAGTGAAATGCAAGGGCTTTGTACTACATATGGTGGTAAATGAAACATCAGCAAATGAAAGAGCATAGGAAAGGAGCTGTAAAATTACCTGACTGGACTATTAGAGGCATCGGGGTCATGAGCTGCTACAGTTCCAATGATGGTGCCCACTTTGGCTGCTTCAGACACTACCATAGAGTACAGACGGGAGGTAAATACAGGTGGCTCATCAACATCTTCCACAATGATCTTCACTGTTGTCATATCACTGAATGGCCCAAGGCTGAGAAAACGAGGATCAACCTGTTTATTTGCTGCTTCTATCCTCAATGTATAGCTAGCTTTGGCTTCGTAATCCAGCTCCTACAAAGAAAATAACAGAATGTTTAATCAAGTACAGTACAGTTTATTGTTATGGTCCTTAGACCAGTTGTACAAAAAATACACCTTTACAATAGTGCAAAATTTTAAAATACATCAATAAAACATTCAAAGAAGATTAAAATTTAATCTAATGTCTAACTACTGTAACTACCTAACTACCATAAAATGGCCGTAACCTGAGTATCACCATACAAAAACTTGATAGGTGATCCTGGGATTTCTATCAAGTTCTGTGCTTTAGAAATATCTGTGGCTTTATGAGTTTTATTGTCCCAGTGAACAAAATACTGGTTGTTCCCAAATGCTGATATTTTTCACCATCTCAGCTAAACCAGATAATAGATTCCTCCTACCATACCTGCAAGTTGTCTTAAAACTCTGTAATAAGATCAAATTGAATAGAGTCTGGTGGGGGGAAAAACTGGCAGGAATTGTTGCTACACCAATGACAAACCTTCCAAAATCCTATTGGCTGTGGAGCTGTGTATCTTTTGAACGTTTTATAGGGCACTGTTCCAGGGACCAGGGCAGTGAGGGAATGAAGGAAGAAGACTCTCATATTAATTGTGTATTATTATTTGCAAACAGTAGGTTCACTTAAATTACTTGCATTACTTGTTTCCCAATATACTGTAGATAAACATCTAAAATATCAAGGAAGCGGCATATGAGTAGGAAAAGAAATCAGAAGTACTTAGCATTTTCCTCCTATTTTGTTCATTAAACTTTGTAAAAAAGAAGGTAATTAGATGGTGAGCAAATTATTTAATAAGAGTAAACAATGAAATCCAAGCAATAATAATAAGTAATAATCATCATGATAAATTTTCTGTGTCTGAAGTAGTCTTCAAAGGACATAAGTTAGCCAAGTGAAAATTGGTTGAACTGCTGTTACTGCCACAATCAAATATGTAAATTAGATTGATAAAGAAGAATAGTAGAACAAATTGCTGCTAATAACACTATTGCTGCAGTTCACAGGGTCATGGAAGATGCAGCAGATGAAGGAAGGGATTACACACTTCATAATTGGCTGAGAATGAAAGCATGTATTCACAGTGGTCTGAAATGCAAAAATATGACTTCTCAGGGCACATGATATCTTCCAGCTCACTATTAAGACACATTAACAGTACAATTCTAGGAATACTTGCCTGGGAGTAAGCCTCACTGAAAAGATGAGTCGGATTCTGAGTGGACCTGCTTAGATTTGCTCTCTAAGGTAATGCTTGACAGCATCTAGTAGGGCTTTTGGGTAGCACTGTGATTTTACAGATGGCCAAGAGAAGCCAGACCATACCGTTACAAGAAAATTGTGCCAAAGAGGGAGAACCAGATCCTGGCCTGATACGAGCCCTCTTGGAATACTTATTATTTCATTTATATTCCATTTTTCTACCTAATGGGGAACCATTCGCTTCTCATCCACATTATCCTGATAAAACAATCCTGTGAAGTAGGCTAGGCTGAGAGATTGTGATGAGCCCAAGGTTACCTGGTGAGCTTCTGTGGCAAAGCAGGGATTCAAAGTCAGTTGTCTTAGGTTCTAGTCCAATCATTCTACCCATTACACTTTTTGAATTAGGAGGGAAGCCCCCTCCCCATTTTTAAGCAAAAGAAGCAATAGTGAGACTATGGGTTGGATCCAAAGATTCCTGAATGGAACAAAAATAGCCACTAGTTCTGTTCTGCAAACACTTGTGCACAACATATTTGTTGCAGTTATAGTAGTAGCCCAAGGTTACCTGGTGAGCTTCTGTGGCAAAGCAGGGATTCAAAGTCAGTTGTCCTAGGTTCTAGTCCAATCATTCTACCGATTACACTTTTTGAATTAGGAGGGAAACCCCCTTCCCATTTTTAAGCAAAAGAAGCAACAGTGAGACTATGGGTTGGATCCAAAGATTCCGGAATGGAACAGAAATAGCCACTAGTTCTGTTATGCAAACACTTGTGCACAACATATTTGTTGCAGTTATAGTAGTTCTGTTTCTGCAAGAGATTATACAAGAAGGGCTCTTTGGATCTATGCAATATTCCTGGCTTTCTCCTATTTGTAAGAGTGAACAATTATCACTAGATTGAGCTTTTGCAGTTTGTGAAGCCTGCTGAAACTTCCCATTACAGTTACACAGTAGAGAATAGCTTTAGGTCACTGAAAGAAGCATATGCCTTAGAGACAGGAGCATCAAGTTCAAGCCTCAGCTCTTACACAGAATATCTGTGCTTTTAAGAAATTGCTTTTTTAAAATCTAAAATATTGAGCTGGAACTCCTGTGACAAAAAAAAGCACATGATACAATGTATATGCCAGCTTTTCAAGGCACCACACGTTTCCTGCTAAAAGAAAACTATTTAAAGCAGCCTTTCTCGTAAGGTTACTAATTAAAATGCAACATGAGAGTTTGCTGACCGGATGGTAATGATGACTTGGCAAAAGACAAGTTCCTTTAATTTAAAATTTATGGTCCAGGGCCCTCAAACACTCTGCATGCCTGAACTAACCCAACTCTTGTTAACCTGAATTTTGCTTTATGTACTAATATTGCCGTTGTTGGTTGGTGTTTGCCTGAGATTACATTTCATTAAAACATTAAGGACCCACAGGGATAACACTCACAAATGTACATATAACAGATAAAATATTTGAAACCCATGTTGAAAGCCATGACTGGTTGGCTTACACTGAGTCGACCGAAATTGAATCCAATGAAGATGGAGGTACTGTTCCTGAGTTGGAGCACCCCGAGGGTATGATCCCACTCCCAACCTTTGATGGGGCACCGTTGGTGCCAGTGCTGGAGGTTAGGAGTTTGGGAGTGCTCCTGGATGCCTCCTTAATGATGGAGGCCCAGGTAGCAGTCACTGCAAAGTCAGCCTTTTATCATCTTTGGCTGATCAGGCAGTTGGTTCCCTTCCTTGAATGCGATGACCTGGAAACAGTGATCCATGCAATGGTCACCTCGTGATTGGACTACTGCAGTGCTCTCTACATGGGGCTACCCTTGTCCCAAATCCAGAAGCTGCAGCTGGTGCAGAATACAGCGGCCAGGCTGTTGTTGCGTCTCCCTATGTGGAAGCACATCCAGCCTGCACTAAAAGCACTGCACTGGCTGCCTATAGCATACCAAATTCAGTTCAAGGTGCTGGTTCTATATGATCAGGGGCCTACATACCTAAGGGACCGCCTTTCCACATATGTTCCCCAGAGAGCACTATGATTGGGGTCCCAAAATTATCTGGCCATCTCAGGTCCTAGAGAAGCCAGGCTGGCTGTGATGAGGGTCAGGGCCTTTTCAGTGGCAGCTCCGCACTGGTGGAATGAGCTCCCAGATCAAATCAGGGCCCTGTGGGATGGAGCTTTTCCACCAGGCCTTTGAGCAGGGAGCCGCCCTAATAAATTGAGACCCTGGCCCCAAACTAACATCATCATTAACATGTCACTATTAGATTCAAATTACCATAATCATCAACATGTCAATATTAGATGCTGCTACTGCCCGCCATTGGCCACGAAGAGCACTACCACTTTACTCTGTTGTTTTATGATTGTATCGTTGTGGTTTTAGTGTTCTAAAAAGTTTTATTTGACAGGATACAAGTCAAATAAATAAATAAATATTTAGGAAGTCTTCCAGCTGTTTGCAGAGTCTACAGACCAGTGCCAGTAGCAGCCCACTGTGGCTCCACAGTATGGCTGGAAAACATGAGGCACCTATCCAACTGAAATCAAGCAGGTATGAGCCTGTATGAGAACACATATGTATGTAAGCTGGACAGAAGAAAAGAATGTAAATGTAGTAATAAAATTAACTGTGATGACATTGACCATTTAACAACCACATACTTGCAAAGTACCCCCCAGCTATCTCTACTTTCACTGCCATAAAGCAGAGTTTTTCGTCTCAGTCTCTGCTTAGTACTGGTCATTCTGTTGTCATTCAGTCCCTGTTGTCCTGAATGAGCTCCCTATAGTTCACACGCAAATGGAGAGCAGCCACTGGGCTTGCTGAAGCCTGGCTGATGGGCCTCCAGCTTTCAATCACTGAAGTAATCCAAAGTTTGTTGTCGTTGTTTTTAAATAAATATTTTTGTTTATTACACAAAACCCTACTCATATGCATATGAGTACGGATAGAAGCTTGTATAATATACAGTTTTACCCAAGATTGCATGCATTAATTTTGTGTTGGGAATCAGAGGAGATTTATGCTGCAGAGAGCAGCAAAGAAACTACTATGGGTGTGCATTTGGCAGAAGCTGAGCCAAATATATACCCAAATAAGACCTTGTTGACATTATTCGGGCATATATTCAGCCGAATGTGATTCTCTGCTGTGTATTCGGCAGCTGAATAGAGAATCCCAAATATATTTGGGACTCCTGAACATCTGGTGGGCTTGCTGTACTATTTTCCCCACCACTGGAAACAGTGGTGGGATGGGGGCACCCTCTTGGAGTGCCCCTAGAATTGGACCTCCTGGTCTAATCTTTCTGAGACTTGGGGGTTCTTTTGGGGAGAGGCTCCAGCAGCAACACTGCAAATTTGGTCCCTCTACCTCAAACCCCCTTCCCCCAGGCCACTGAATATACCCTAGGAGAAATTTGCCACTGCCTATAATGGACCCATAGGGTAAAATGGGGCTGAATATATTCTGGAATCTCAAATATTTCCTGAATAGGATATCAATACTGATCTTGATATTCAGGAATATTTGGCTTAGAAAACCCCAAATGCAACTAATACCAAATATTTTTTTTCTCTACAAACCCCTAGAAAGTACATCATCTAGATAGCCCTAATAGTTATTCTACTCCAACTGTAGTTTAGCTGGCCTCCCGATTACCCTTTCATTAGTACATTGTATGACTGAAACATGGCACTGTCTTATAATAGCAAGGCAGCCTCTCACCAATCACTACATCAGTGTTGAAGGTTAAAAGGACAATGCATACTTTAGTTCTTCCTCTCTGTACAGTGAATGGAGCTTGACAGCTTCATTAATATCTGTGCATTAGTGTTATCTGATTAGATCCTATGCCTCATCCATTCATCTTTTTAAAATGTAACAGTGAACATTTTGTCCTGTCTAAAGGAAATTACAAAACAAGTCATCTCTATTTAAAATGTGGGGGGGGGGGAGCAGTGATGTGTAGTTACTCTTCAGAGGAAGTATATTTTTAACTCTCATTTTTTAAACTATATAATAACCTTTTTTGTTAATAATGTCATTTATATGGCTACAATATCACTGCAGAGCCCTGGCACTGGATAAAGGAATTATTTCGTATAGGAAAATGTTCCAGTCTCCTCTAAATTGCTAAGTATTTTTATAATAGATTGTATAACAATGCTACAAGAGTAAACACACACACAAAAAGGTTACCAAGGATTAAAGGATGTTTCTTAATTCCAACAAAAGAGGTTATTTCAATAGCCTGTTGCACAATTTTAATTTCTGTAACCTGCTACAAAGATTGCTGAGAAAATATTCAAATAAGACTATGTTTCACCAACATAGCCATCCAGCTCCCATTGAGCCAGTCTGAGAAGGAAAAAAGGAGCCTTCAAACACAAAAAGCACTGTGTATGAAAAAGGAAGTGAAGAGAAAAAGAGGATGAGATTGGATTTATACCCTGCCCTTCACACGGAGTCTCAGAGCAGCTTAAAGTCTCCTTTCCCATCCTCTCCCCACAACCCCTAGAAAGTAGGTGGGGCTGAGAGAGCTCTGACGGAAACTGCCCTTTCAAGGACAGCTCTGACAGAACTACGGCTTGCCCAAGGTCATCCAGCAGCTGCAAGTGGAGGAGTGGGGAATCAAGGAGTGGGGAATCAAAACCAGTTCTCCCAGATTAGAGTCTGCACACTTAACCACTACACCAAACTGGCTCTCAGTGAGTGATTCAATTTCTTCCTCAAAGTGTTCACCTGTATTGAATAGAATTATTAAACAATCTGAAACTCAGAACGTCTATTTAGCCACAGAATGCAGCACATCCCTGTCCTGGTACTTCTGTTTTCTAGAGAACTTTGAAATAACTTCAATAGCTTCTCCAGTCCCATGCATTTATACTTAATGTATGTATACTGGCTCCTGATAGCAACACTGACCTTTTCCTCCATGGCTAATTTCCTAAACTGCTGAGTCTCGTGTTAAATCCAACAAATGCATGTTGAACCTCAACAAGATGGGTCAGATTCTCCAAACTGTAACTCTGGTTCATTACTGAAAACAAATTGGATCTGTGTAGGTAGCACATTTAATATTTAGCCAACACTATGGTCCAAAAGATGGTGTGGTAAGCCATCGCACTTAGCCATTTGGGAATATTTCCTCACAATCTGACCCAATGCACAGTGCTAGTTCATATAACTTGGAATACTACAGGTAATATAGAAAAGATACTGGAATTCCCTTGACAAAAAGGCCTATTCCATATGCATAGTAAAGACTAATGTCGTCAGTCAAATGGAACCATACTTGTAGGTTATTACATCCAATGAGGTGTATTTTGGGATTATCTTTTTTTGCTGTCAAGCCACAGCTGACATACAGTGACCCTGTGGGGTTCCCAAGGCAAGAGACTTTCAGAGGTGGTTTGCCATTGCCTGCTTCTACGTCACAACCCTGGTATGCCTTACCACTTGCAAAACATTACCACTGTGTCAGCAGTTAACTTTAATACAAGAAACAGCGATTTATATCATATGAATAAAGGATACAAAATTATAGAAATTAGCATTTATTTACATATTGAGTATCACACAGTCTTTTATTTAGTCAGAGGAAGAAGCAAAAGTACTGAAGTCCAGCCCCTTGCCCATTAGATGTTTTGGTTACCATGCTTTCTAACATGCCTTCAGGCACTGCCCACTCATTTTTTTAAAGTCACAATGGCTAGACACTTGTTTCATTTTATAAATAAAAGATGAGAGCTCTATACTAAATTCTGAACCAGGATAATACAATCCATACTTGTGCTGTGTGAAAATGAATATTTAAAGAAGTTATTGGAGCATGTAAGAAGTCGCTGGCTGCTATTTATATACGGCTCTCCTGATAAGTTTCAAATGTTATTTCCAGCACTATGATTGGCAGGTCATTTCTCTCCTCTCTCCTCCCTCTCAATTGTGTATAAAACATAAAAGAAAAAAAAGTAATCTAAGTTATTTACCACATTCTGCACTATGCCAAAAATAAGAGCAATAGAGTCCCAGCCAGCCCCATGACAAAATTAAAATGTATGCATCTTGGCTTGCTACATGAGAGACCTGAGACATTCAATATTGTTCAATGTGACATTGACAAATGTTATCCTGCTAGGATAGGCATAATTCTTCTAGATCTGTATTGAAAGACATTAAATGAGCAAACCACATTAAACTGGATGGTGATCAAAGAAGGACTAACTTTTCTACTTTTTTTGCTAGTTTTGCTTCAAATCTGTACCGCAGATCATATATTCAGCCAGGGCAGTGCTACAAGAACATGGCAGAGAAATGGGGTTGCCAGTTCCAAGCTGGGAAATATCTGGCAATTTTGGGGGTGCAGACTGAGGAGGGTGGGGTTCGGGGAGGGGAGAGACTTCAATGGGGTATAATGCCATAGAATCCATCTTCCACAGTGGCCATTTTCTCCAGGTACAGGTGAACTGATCTCTGCTGCCTGGAGGTCAGTTGTATTAGTGGGAGATCTCCAGCCACCACCTGGAGGCTGGCAACCCTACAGAGAAAGAGCACAACACACAGTCTTGCTCCCAGTGTGAACCTGATAATATGATGTCCCCATCTGAGTCATTTTTCCAGGAAGGAAGGAAGGAAGGAAGGAAGGAAGGAAGGAAGGAAGGAAGGAAGGAAGGAAGGAAGGAAAGAAGGAAAGAAGGAAAGAAGGAAAGAAGGAAAGAAGGAAAGAAGAGTAAAGCCATAGCAACTCATGCCAAGAGACCAGTTCACACAGGAGGCCATTCTGCATGATGGAGGAGGCAAGCTTGCACCGGTTCTCTTACACTATTTGTAACAATCCTATGAAGGAATATTTGAATTGGGATGAAGCTACCTGGAAATGTGTATATTCAGAAAGAAATGTAACTTAAGCCTTTTGGCCTTTCAATTTTTAATGTTGAAACAAGGCAACAGCTATAAGGTTGTTGTTGTTTTTTGTTCCCTGAATCAGCTCTTAGTTTATCGAGTGGAATCTATGCAGCAGCCCCCAATAATGCTGAGTATGAGAAGAGAAACTCTTCAGAACAAGCTTTGTAATCATCACTTTACCCAAACAGACCATTTCACAGAATTCCAGAATTGTAGACAGGACTGAAGAAGCTGTCAGAGGGACTTGGAATAGCGATGGAAAAACACAGACAGCAATCTGCTAATCAGAATTGGATTTAAAAAAACCCCTCTAGGTGCCATGGGAACCTGATCTTCTGAAACAGAACAGATTTCTCCATACATTGGGTGAAATCTGCTCCTTGCAGGTACTGAGAATGAGATTCTGAGTACAGAACAAAATCTGAGATTACCTTCTGTATCATAATAATCCCTTCTTGTGTCTCTTTGTCCACTAAAACTTTGAAAACTCCCAAGCCATCGCCATCCACAATCTTATATTCCATTTCAGCATTAGGTCCCACGTCGGCATCCACAGCCTTTAGTCTTGCCACCACGGAAGCCACAGGTAAAGACTCAGGGACATTATATTGGTATGACCCTATAAAATTCAAAACAACAGTTGAACAGTTGTCTGGTTCAATTTATTAGTATTATAACTTACATTTGTAGCTAAGGAAAATATTGTATAAAACAAATGCATTTGCTGTTTTTAAGAAAGCGTGTGGTTAGTGTTGTTAGTGTAGAGGACAATTCAAGGGATTTCCAGGAATCTTTGGGAGAGATTCTTTGGGATCCTCCAGGGAGGGTTGGTGAATTGTTAACCACTAAGCAGAATTGTGGAAACAGGTGTTTTAAATCGAATTTAATTGACAACAAAGAATTTTCTAATTAGGCCAGGTGTTTTTTTTTACATCAGCCTTTTTATTTGGAATGGCAGGAAGCACCACTGCCAACATTACAGATTTATGGTGGGATCCTTTACTTCAAAGGATCTAGAAATAATTGGTCAAGATGTTTTTAGATGAGCCTAAGTGGGGTGAACGAAGGGATAATTGTATTGTGAGGAAACTGCCTTTTCCTACTTGCTGTGTGCTTTTAGAATATTAAAATACTTTATATTTTGTTTAAAGCTGAATATTTACTGAGATTACGGTATAAGATATTTGTAAGAGCAGCAGCTAGCTGAATTATTTCAAGCTTTGCTACAGAAAGTTATTAAGCTTAAGACAAAAAATGTTTGCTCAACTGTTATACACTTAAAATTAACCTGGCAAAGATCCATAAGCTACTAACAAGCAGAAAGTTGGACCAAGAAGTTTATGAAAACAAAATAATCAATCATGCACACCTGTCATTCATTAGAAGCCAATTATAAGATACAGAATTTGTATTATACAAAGAGGGACCCTGCTGGCTAAAGTAAAATAGTACATTTTATAAATGAGAAGGTTCAATCTAGACTAAAAATGCTTTATAAAATTAACAAAAATATTCTGATAGACCAAAATAAAGGATAATGGATAAATTCAAGTTATTTACAATGGCTTTATGCCATAGGCTACTTTGAAACATTAAAAGAATATATGTAAAGGTTTAAATTCTTTAGAGTGTCATTGTAATGATATGTTTTTATATTTTTCATATTTTGTCTACGTTAGTGAAAATAAGCTTATAAAATGCTTTAAGAGGGCTGTAATACTTTATATGCATGCATTATTGTAAAAGTAAACATTTTTGTAATGAAAACAGCTAGGTTTTGTAGTAAAAATGAACTCAGCCTGAGAGTTCATTCAAAGGTGAAATGAGTCTAGGTAGGCAGCCCAAAAAATAAGCACCTGTATAAATCAATTTTAACGAGACAAGCACCTGCATTGTAGAGTTGAGACACGGTCAAGTAACATCTGTTGGTCAAATATGTGATTGATGACTGACCAGACAAAGAGATCTAAACTGAGCATGTGCAAATGATGTCAATGATGATGTAAAGTAAGGAGAAGCAATAAGAGCATATAAGCAAGTTCCCTGCTGTAACTCACTGAACATCTATGCTGAATTACTTAGCTGTGAGATGTTCCTTTATTCAAATAAATCTTTTTCCTTCCATTTATTGCCTGGAATTGTCTGTTTCACTGTGTGGTTTATTGGCTATCCACACAAGTCAAAGAACCTTAGTGCCCTCAGGGTGTTGCTTTCATTAGGAAGTAAGTTGTCTCTGTATAACATCAGTACTCTGTGCTCTCAAGGAGGACTATGCTTTGGTAAGGTTACCAAAAGAGCTACACTGTCCAAATACATCACTACCCCATGCATGAAACCCCAAATTCAATTGTATGTTTGCTGGACTACATGGCAGTCCCTAAACCACCCTGTTGAATTACTTGTGCATGTACAGTACAATCCTATACAGAGTTAGATCCTTCTGTCCACTGAAGTCACATGAATGGCTTGTGTGTAACACTGGAGAAGGGAGTATGCAAACATCACAGATCAACTTAAATGGAATATACTCCAAAACCAGAAAACCCTTGTTCATGTAAACTATGGCATCATCTGTATCCCTTCCTTCAATGCTACATCACTCCTGCAAGTACACCAGGCATATAACAGTTTCATGTACTAGTAAAATAATGTCTTCCTTCCCTACATTTAAAATACAACAAAAGTAGAACACAGCCAATGACCTTTTCTCATGTATGTCCCATGTCACCAAAGCAAAGGAATAAATATGAGAAAGACCAGAGATAAGTCTTAATTGTGACTAAAAGAGACAGTTTCCTAGCTCTTCATGTCAAGTAACTGAGATAAATTCTACTCTTGCCTCTTTAACAGCAAGGGCATCCTTCTTCTCTCTTGAAAACTCCATATCTGAGGCTCCAGCTGAAATTGATACAGATTGCTGCTTAAAATGTGGACTGAAGCCTCTACCATTTTCACTTTCCGAAACAGAATCCCTGGTGTTTCATTATTACCTAAACCACTGGAAGAACAAAAATCTAATTCCCTTTTTTCGCTTTCGATTGGTTTGTCTTTTTATACCCACTTGAGAAGAGACCAGATTGGACATGCATATGTTCCTCACATTAGTCTAATTCACTCCTGCGATGACTTTACAAGAAAGACTGGAGCAAGGTGAGGAAAAAACATCAGACTGTTTATAAACAGGGTGCCTCAAGTCTGGAAATAGACTTTTTCCCCTGTTCTTCGTTTAATCATGAGCCACCTTGGTCAAAGCAAATAAATTGAGGGCAGATTGTTTTCTAGTTCTCCCTAGATTGATTTTTTTCCCCTATGAAACACTGAGCATCTGCCAGGAAAAAAAAAATGACAGATACTCAAGCAACATGAAATGTGCACCAGAATAAAAGATATACATTCTGATAGAAAGATGGAAGATGCACACCAGAAAGCACTGGAAATAAATCAGAGAAGTATTAAAATCATAATGTGAGGAAGAAACAAAGTACCCTCAAAGAGCACAGTCAGAGCGATACACAAAGCAACACAAAGCAGAAAAGTCTCCAAAAGGTAGGAATTGGAAATCTACCTAAGCACTTGACATTCAGCAAGAGGAGCAAGAAGTGTGTGGGGTGCAGTAGAGCCTGCAATGTAGTCAAGCTCACATACCTGAAAGATTGGGAATAGAGAAAGATTCACCACTGAACTTAAAACTGTAGGCTGAAGAACCATAAAGACCGCATGTCTTAATTTAATCTCTCAGGTGGGCACTGGCCCAGGGACGTGTCAGTGGGACTGAGAAACTATAACCCAGTGCTACCACCTCCAGAATCAATCCTTGGCATATCCATGTAAGGGATCTCTGGCATCAGGTATTGGAAATGACCTTGCCTGCAGCCTTAAAACTTCTGCCAATCAGAATAGACAATGCTCAGCTAGCTGGATTTACAGTCTGACTCGGCGTAAGGCAGTATCATATGTTCCATTACTGCACTGAGGGGATAAACTCAGCCACCAACGCAATAACTGGAGCATCAGAAGTGTGCAGGAAGCAGGCCAGGAAACAATACTGGTATGTTTCAAAATAGAGACATAGTGGGGGTGGTAATGTTTGTTCTCGGTTTCATAGAACCACACAATACAAACTTGCTACCCAGTGCCATTCAGATTACAGTGTGTTGCAAGCAGCCAATCAAGCAGAATCAGATGACTCATGGAAACATGCAAGACACAGACTGCTGAAGAAGGCAAAACCAGGTCTAAAGCAAACAGGCTTCATATTACATCTCCTACATCAGACACAGTGAGCGACACACCACTGCACCTGGTGTAGGAAATTGCTGCCTATGGAAAACAGTCAATGTATCTTGTCTGGGGGTCAGCATCTAAGCAAGTGCAGTAAGTGGAATAAACTTTTTATTCAAACTGTGTATCTCTGTTTCAAATAAACATGAGCACGCTTCCAGGTAACACGTGGTACTGTAAGAAACTTACGTCGGGGAAAACGAGGAGGGTTGTCATTGACATCTGTGAGGGTGACGGTGACTGAAGTGGTCCCAGATAGTCCCCCATTTTGGCCAACCATATCCTTTGCTTGGATGACAAGCAGATACTGGTCTTTTGCTTCTCTGTCCATATTGGGGAGAGCAGTCTTGATAATACCTGGAATATGTCAAAATACGTACAATAGTGATGGTGGCATTCGCAATACTGACAAGAATATTTAATAAGCGCATCAATGGACTGTCCTTAGACTTTGTGAACCAGTCCAGTGTTTCAGCAGAAGTTAGATGCTGTCAGTTCCTGGTAAAATGGTAGAAGAGTAAATTTTCCCTGTTGACTCACCGTCCCATTTGCACAAACAAAACTGAAATGGGGATTTTTGGCTCAAGAAATTCAAAAGCTTCCCTAATTAAAATCAATCTGAAGTAATATTTATACATTCACTAACAGGATACAAAGTGTGCCTAGATTTCTCTCCCTTCAGAATATACCTTACACATTATGAAAATATTCACTGTGGTTAAGGTTAGATTCATTACCCCCGAAAGAGAATGCTAATATCATACGTATGAATTCTCTATGAGACTTACACACTGTCCCACATCAGTACATCCTACACACTCCTGGCATACTTGTGAATTTTAGCTTTAAAAATTTACAAGTAAGTCACATTGAAAATTTAAAGGTAAGGATCCCATTAAACATTTTGCATGCATGAAGGATATCATTTTTGTCTACCTGCACCACAGTACCTCTCCACCCCCCCATGCTGCTTTTAGTGTATCCATGTGCCCATGGAGCAAAATTTGAGGGACATCTGGGGCTGCAGCTGGATGGGGAAGGTGTGGAAGTTACCCTTCCATCCCCAGAATTTAGATGGAATTCAGCCCGACGCAATCATTGAGAAAGTGATTGTGCAAATTCATACCTTGAAACCATTTGCTTTCAGAAGTAACATTGCTAACACATTTCAAGGTATGCAGAGTAAGGAGACAAAATCCACTGGGTTATGAAAGTGTTGTGTCAGTTCCAAAATGTTCTTTTCTAGCTTTGCTCTCTGTGTCCCCATCAGCAGAGGTAAAGCAGGTGGTGACCAGAGCCTAGAACTTTGGAATTTGGGGATTTTATTGACTTTGTTTGACATATTTATGTTACTGATTTGGATTCTTGGATAGGTATGTTTAACAAGGAATGAATTGTTTTTGTTTGTTTGTTTGCTTGATTTATTGTTGTGAGCAGCCTCAAGGTTTGGAGAAGTGACATGCAAAGTTTTTAAATAAATAATGTTTGTCCTTGCTTTGCTAACTTGATTGAAACATTGGTTCTTGGATTTACTGGAACCTCTGCTGTCCAATAAGAAAATGCTCTCTGAGGAGAACACTCTAACAGGGGCTGACCGAAAAACTACTGTTTCTGTGGTGAAGTTTCTATGTTCTGCAATGAAAATTTGAGCCAAGATAACATCCGGTGCATAATTTATTCAGATTCTAACCTTTTAACTGTCGGTATCTTAAGACAAAGTGATGTATCAAGAGGTTTTATGTAGTAATAAATTTCATATTAGTGTTTTTTATCTGTTCTACTCTGCTTCTGGGTGGCCTCTGGGCCATAATAAAGACTGAACTCAACTGAACCAAACAATTAATGAAAAGATTTAAAACCAAACAAACAAACTTTCTTCTTTTGCTGCTAACTGATGCTGCTGTTTTGGTTCTGTACATTTATAGGGGGGGATCTACATTTTTGTAATCTCTGGGGGCAGTCTATACCCTGTTCCAATGCTCCCTCTAAGCTGTGGAGTCTTGTGAGCAAAAATTCTGCTTTGTGAGCTACTGGCATTAAAGTTGTCAGTGAGCAAGTTGGCTACTGCATAAATTAGTTTGCTCTGGAGCCATCCTTCCTGAGCTAAGACAAAAATATGTGAGCCGGAGGGTAAAAAATTGTGAGCTAGCTCACACTAACTCAGCTTAGAGGGAACACTGCCTATATCCAGATATCCAAGCCACATTAGGCAGTGGCTCCAGACAGACTAGGCCACAATGGCTCAGAAGTTAAGACACTGAGCTGCAGACCAGAAGGTCTGTAGCTCAGCGGTTCGAGACCCTACTGCCATGTGACAGAGTGAGCTCCCATCTCTGGCCCCAGCTCCTGCCAACCTAGCAGTTCAAAAGCAAGATGAATAGGTACCACCTCAGTGGGAAGGTAACAGCATTCCGTGCATCTCGGTGTTTAGTCATACTGGCCACATGGCTACGGTAACGTCTTCGGACAATGCTGGCTCTTTGGCCAGCTTGGTGTAGGGGTTAAGTGCATGGACTGTAATCTGGGAGAACTGGGTTTGATTCCCAACTCCACTTGCAGCTGCTGGATGACCTTGGGCAAGCCATAGTTCTGTCAGAGCTGTTCTCTCAAGGACAGTTCCTGAAAGAGCTCCCTCAGCCCCACCTACCTCACAGGGTTTCTGTTATGGGGAGGGGAAGGAGTTTGTAAGCTGCTCTGAGACTCTGAGTGAAGGGCAGGGTATAAATCCAATTTTCTCCTCCTCCTTCTTGGAAATGGAGATGAGCACTGCCCCCTAGAGTCGGATTCGACTAGCTTTCGAGCAAGCGAAACCTTTACCTTTACTTTACAGACAGACTACACATGGGGAGGAGGGACTGTCATGTGGTACACATGCCATTCAAAAGCAGTTTCTGATTCAAGGTGATCACTGGACTATGAAAACACACACACACACAATACTTTGCCTCTTAAAATATGTGTGCATCCAGCATTGCTAGTTGATTGCAGTAATGTTGTACACATTAAACTATCGTATACAGAGTCCAATCACTGGTCTGGGAAGATGAGTATGGGTTATTGTGACTGGTAATGGTTCTAGAGGGACCCAGGCAGAGGTATTTTATATAACCTACTACCAGTGTTCCCTCTAAGCTGAGTTAGTGTGAGCTAGCTCACAGTTTTTTAGCCTCTGGCTCACACATTTTTGTCTTAACTCAGGAAGAATGGCTCCAGAGAAAACTAATTTATGCAGTAGCCAAATCGCTCGCTCACAACTTTAATGCCAGTCGCTCACAAAGTAGAATTTTTACTCACAAGACTCCACAGCTTAGAGGGAACATTGCCTACTACTGATCTTTTTAGCTGTAGATGCGGAGGATTGAACCCGAGACTTTCTTCATACAAAGCAGGTGCTGTTCTACTAAGTTATGGTCCCTCCTCAGTAAACCAGAAATCCTAGAAATTGCTCCAGAAAGGTACAAAATGAGGAGGAGGAGAGGAGGAGGAGGAGATTGGATTTATACCCTACCCTTCACTCGGAGGCTCAGAGCCTTTCCCCTCCCCACAAGAGAAACCGTGTGAGGTAGGTGGGGCTGAGAGAGCTCTTTCAAGAGCTGCCCTTTCAAGGACAGCTCTGATAGAACTATGGCTTAACCAGGGTTATCCAGCCAGGTGCAAGTGGAGGAGTGGGGAATAAAACCCGGTTCTCCCAGATTAGAACCCGCACACTTAACCACTACATTGAACTGTGGGGAGCCCTTCCTATATATGTCTTGTGATCTTCCTTTATCCACCATGTGGGCAGATGTGTGTGGTCTGAGCACACAAGTCAAAAGAGAGTTGAATCCAAAACAGCAAAACAAAATATACAACCCCCCCCCCCAGTAAGTATGGAGAAGTTCCTGGCCCTTTCCATTTAACCTCCACAATGATGGTATAAAATGCGAAAAGAGATAAGATACCAAGCTGCCAGCCTGACTTTCCTAATGATCCACAATTGTAAATGACCCAATGCTTTCTTGTTGCTATTAATAATCTGTTATCTCTTTGTGCATTTCAATGAGGCTTTCTTGAATTGGCTAATATCTTTTAAAAAAAACAATAGCCACTTCTAAAGCACTCATTGTAATTAGGAGGCTTTGATGTAATAATTGAAACAGTGTATTATCTGAAACAGTTTTATGGGTTTATCTATTTGGCCATCTCTTTGCCATATGTAATTATGCTTTGAAATTTAAGGAAAAAAGGAAAGGGTCGGGGGAGAACAGCTAGCTATTCACCATTCTGCTGTGCAGATAAGTATCAGAAAAATATTTCTCCTCCAACTAGGAAGGCTTTATGACTATTTTGTGCTTGTTATACAGTACAGCTAACTCTGATTTTCAGGGAGACAGACTTATACTCCATCACTGCTTTGTGTGTCACCAATGGGGAACGCATATATTACTTTGATAACTGAGTGATGTGTGTGTGTGTGGGGGGGCTCTATATCCCCATTTGATGTTTGTAAATTCTTCTGTTCCAGTTTTATTTATTTCCTCTTCTTTTGCATCTCAAGAATCCCATTAATCTTTGCTATGCTGAAAGCTTTATTTTTTAAAAAGTCTCAGCTTTATTTTATCCATACTAAACAGACTGATAAGACTAGTGGGCAATTTAATGAATTATTTCCATTTTTTGTTATTTTTACACTTCTTACCTTTGCTAAAAACTATTCTGACTTCACATGGTGATATGATGTCCTATTTCATGCAGGTTATTGTTTTGTTCAGCAAATTTACTTTACTACAAGCTATTGCAGTGTTGCCTATACAGATCTGGAGGAAAACCACCATTTCCATGCACCACCCAGAGTTGTACCTTTTTAGTCTCTGATAAGCAACTAAAACAGAATTACAAGCCAAATCCATAAAAGTCCTCAACTGTTCTTTCCTAAAAGACTCAGATAAATGTCCTCCAAGGGAAAAAAAATCCCTTACATTCCATTAAAAAAATTGCAGCTGGACCTCTCCTCACTTCTTCAGTTAGACTATTCCATGTTGCCCTCTCCTCAGTGGTATGCCTGGCCCTCCCCTGGGTAGTGTATGGAAGATACCTGGCTACTGAACGAGTAATATAAGGGTGCTGGTCTGACCAAAGATATAAAAAAAGCCTCTCATTGGGATATCCATGAAAGTTGTGTCATGAGTGTTAAGTTGTTTTCTAATTGCCTTGCATTCCTTCCCATGCGCTTAATTGCTTCTGAGCTGCAACGCTTATCTTTGAAGTTGTACTGGTTGAGATTGTGGTGTCTATCGTCCGTGGGAGCTTCTCCGTTCCCAGCTTCACAACCATTAGAGGGACTAGTAGTCTCCCGCACGCGGGAGCCCACCTAATTGGTTATTGCTTGGGGGGGGGGCGCATACGAATGCCCTATATCCTATTATGCACACAGGTAGCCCGCCATTCCTAACAGTGTTCCTGTAATCGCATCTATGGCTTTTCAATAAAAGTAAAACCTTCCTGAAAGAGTGTACTTCATTGTTTAGGTGTGGGTCCTGACAGAAGCTTGAGATTCTTCTAACATAAAAAGATAATTGAGAGGGATACCAATAGATTATATTTTCCTCAAAATTAAATGTGACCAATTAGGGAGGAATCAGACAGCATGTACAACACAAAGCTAGGGGATTCTGCCCTATAATGGATGCGTAGCTAAAATTTCAGGGTTAGGAGCCAAGCTCTGGTCTCTAAAAGGCTTTGTCCTGTCTCCAAAAACATAGTGACATAAATTACACAGTTTGGGACCCCCCAAATATGGCACAGAAACATTTTCTGAATTTGCTCAACACATTGGTTGAAAGTGCTAATCCAAATTGGAATCCTGCAAAGGAATTGAGATTAGGGATCAGCACAAATGAAACCATGCAGCAAAATTTATCATGAATTTTGCCATATTCGTGGTCCAGGAACAGAAGTTCATGACAGGTCTGCTGTCACGAGCTTCCATGAACTTTTAGAGCAGTTCATGTGGCTCATGGTGGTTCATGGATGGAGCAGATAAGGGTTTTCTGTTTCCTACAAAAGTTGCAAAAACAGCTGAGTGGCAGGGAGACACTCTCTGCTGTGCAGCTATTTTGGGAAAGGAAGACATGTTGACCTGGAATATATGGAACTATAAATGTATTTTAAATACTTAGCCATCTACTTCCATTATTAAACAATGGAATCCAACAGAACTGGATTATTAAACAATGGAAGCCGATCCAAGTGTTCTAATTCCTAATTAAGGTCTTTTTGAAAGAAAATTCCATATAGGCACAGAGAAATCTAATCTTTAAAAACAAATCAGAATAAGCCAAAATATTTTCCATTTAATTCTCCTTTTCCCTTCCTTTTATCACACAGACACAGCAAAGCACACTTATCTCAATGTAAATTTTGCTTTTCAGAAGAATCCATCTACCCTCCCTCCCTCTGAAGAAGACATATACAAAAGCTTATAGCTGAAATGAAATATTGCTGGTCTTAAAGGAGCCATGGGACTCAGACTTTGCTCTCTCTCCTGGGCGGGGCTCTCTCTCACTCTTAGCCTCCCCCTCTCTTCCTCCCAAAGGAGGAGCCCTCGGCCAATAAAGGGAAGTGAGGCTTGGGTTGGAAGGAAGCAAGAAGCAGGAGGGAAACTTGGAAGAAAGCAGGAAGCAGCAGAGGGAGCTGGGCAAAAGCGAGCTGTGATGCAGCAGCAGCCCTGGAGAAGTAAACAAGAGGGAGACAGTTGCTCGATGGCCAAATATGAGCCTTGCAGGGGCTGGATTTGGCTCACAGGCCATATCTTTGACACCCCTGCTCTAGGATTTGAATAAAAATGCTTTGGTCTCCCACTGGTTCCTAGCCAGAGGCTGGCAATCCTAGTGGTTCACTATGTACAAGTACTATTTGTTTACTAAGTACATTTTCATTCTTCCCTTCCTGTAAAGAGCTCAAGGTGTCATAGATTAGTTTCCACTCCTCCATTTCACCCTTACCATAATCCTGTGAGATAAATTAGGCTGAGAGTGACTGAGGTTATCTAGTGAGCTTTATAGCAGAGCAGGATTTGAATGTGAGTCTCCCAGAACTTAGCTCACCAGTCTAGCCACTACATCACACTGACTCTCTAGAGTGTTTCCAGTAGAAATTTCTAGTTCTTGGATAATTGCTGTGGAGTCTATAAAATTATAATGTGCAAAAATACAAGCCAGATAAATAGAGGTACTAATAGCTCCCTACAAAGATGAAATTTGAACACGCCCTTGGATCTATGCTAACCTTCAACCTGGCTTTGATTTTTTTCCCCCAGTTGGCAGCTCCTAAACTGAACATTGCCAGATTTTTAATGGTGAAATTGCAGGGAAAATTTCAAAGGAAAAGTCTTTCAAAGGAACACATACAGAAACCCAGGGATTGTTTTGTTGAATCAGATGAAGGTTCACCTAGCCTAGCAGTCCAATAGTGGTCAGCTAGATTCCTTTAGAAATTCAAAGGTCAGAACAATCCCTTGCTGTTTAACCCTGGTAATCAGAGGTATACAGCCACTGAACATGCAGCTGCCATTTAGCTAATAGACCTGTGAACAGACATATCCATCCATAAATAGCATTGTTGGACCACAGTCTCTCTTTTGCAAACTGTGATCAGATAAACATGCCATCATATATACCTTTGTCTGTATTACTAAGATTTTCTGTTTGGTGTTATTTCTTGATCCAGAGGTGCTGAGGATAGGGAAAGTATAACAGCTCTTACCGGTCTTTGGTTCCACAGAAAAATAAGGCTGTCCTTGCAGAATGCTGTAAACCACCCTGGCGCTGTTGCCATATGTAGGGTCATCTGCATCAGTAGCTGTTACTTGTACCACCGAGGTGCCTGTAAAATCATTCAGAGCAATAATATCTTTGTTAAACGTTGTACCATCTGGAATGTTATTCATGCAAAGAAGTACAGCCTGGTGCTTGTGTAGGATTGGGGTGAAATGTACTGAACAATAATATTTAGCATCCATAAAGAGCTCTTAAAAGTGCCTCCTGCACACCATCTTGCTGTAATCCTTCCAGGTGAACATTACTGTCCTCATGTGGCAGATTGGGGTAGAGAGCCTTGGATGAGTGGTTTGGCTAAGACAACCTACTGAATTAATGGTAGGCAGATATTTGAAATGGAGGCTTCATCATTTACAGTTGATCCATTACACTAATGACTTCCTACACTGTCGTAGCCACAGGCTTCCATGTTATGTTATGATCTGTGAGATGCAGATAATTTTTTATTTCCAGCATTCTGTGAAATGTCTATTTGGAACTTGCTTATGGTTTTGTATTATTATTCATTTATTAAATTAGATTTTTAAAACTGCCCTCCCCTGTGGGACAGGGCTCAAGGCAGTGTACATCAATAAAAAACCCCATTCACATAATAATTCACAGTTAAAATAATTAATATAATAAAGTAGTTAGCCTAGTAACCAGTAAAATGGCAATAAGACTATCAGAATGTGCCACTGCCTCATGGTGGTGGGGAGGCAAGTAACAGGAGTGCCAGGTGGATGGGAAACCGTCGCTGACCTCAACCAAACGCCTGGCGGAACATCTCCTCAATGCCCTCTTTTTCTTCACATTTCTGGATAAACCACCACACATAAACCTGTTTCTACTTTCAACCTCAGTTATGACTGTATTTCAGTTGTCTTTAACAAAACATATCTGCTTCTACTGTTTGTCCAAGCTGCTTGTTCATGCATCATATGCCACTCACATTACTGAGCTGGAATGGCTTTACAATTATTTTAGTGCATATGTTGAAAATCTTCAACTCTGCATCAATACACCATAACACGAGATCCCAGATCTTATTAATGCCTTTAAAGTATTGTGGTTTGGCAGATTCAAATATGACTTGTTTACATTGTCCTCATGTTGACAACCAGGCTTGGATCCCCCCCCCCATCATTTACCACTCTATGGGTTGGATCCAGACTAAATCAGCAATTTCCACCAATCTCCCCTTCCCACTGTAGACACCCTCATGTAATTTTTTGGAGTTCCCTATCCCCCAAGAGCAGTTTTTTTCTGGAGACAGGTGGCTTGCTGTGGGAGCAGAAAGGCAGGGAAGTTCCATTCTTCTATTGGAATTTTTAGCCTGGAATCAACCCTATGCTCTCCTGAGGGCCCTCAGAAATTTTAAATGATACAGCTTTTTACACACTTCCAACCCAAGTTAAATGGACTCTGGGTCTGACACTTTTTACCACAGTTTATAAGTTTTTCATCTTGCCTGAAGTTTCCTTGACTTCTTTTTTTCCATCTGGTAGGTTCAGATTTACCATCAATCATTAACTTAATGACATTCTTGAACTCCAGAAAATATAGCTGATGTAGAGATAGGCAATGTGTTGTAGCAGTTAGAGCACAGGTGTGAAACTCATTTGTTATGAGGGCTGGATCTGACAAAAATGAGACCTTGTTGGGCCGGGCCATGTGTGTCATAAAATGTAATGCCAGGTAGCAGAGATATAGACTTTATAAAGGACACAGAGAAACACAATAAAAGATTTTTTAAAATTTAAATTAAACATGCTTAAAACATTAGTACTCTTGCAATATTTTGTCTATTTAACAGTCTCTGATAACTAACACCTCTTGGGCAGAATTACTGCATCAAAATGTCTGTGCTGTAGGAATCCTGAGTATACTGTTCAGGTGTGTATCTGTAAGCTGCAAACCTACTTTTGATTTATTGACATTCATTACAGAAATCTCTTGTTCAGTGTTCTGAGCGTGGGACCCAAGGGAAAACATGAAATGGCTGGGCATTGTGAGCTTTTGTACATAAGTTGCTTCATGTGCTGGTCAAGAACATGAGAAAGCATCCCGACACCGACTAAGGGTCATGTGTTTGTCTACAAAACTATACTCTTCCCCAGAGAAATAACTACAACTTCCTACAAAGGAAATGTGCTGGGTAAACTTGGTCTGGACACACACTGTCAGCTTACTCCACCTCACTGGTTTGTTGGTATTCCTTTTCTAAAATAGTTCACATTGCTTTCTTACTAAGAAAGACTGGATCATGAGGGCATGAATACAGTGAAAAGGGGGAGGGAACCCAGTTGCACCCAGGAGGGCCCTGACATAAGGAGCCCAACAAAACACACACACACTGTAACAAGGCACACAAAAGCTTATACCTTGAACAAAAGTTTGTTGGTTTTGAAGGTGCTTGGTATTTCTCCTGTACAATTGAGGCAGCCCAGAAAAGCAAGCTCTCCCTCCCTCCCTCCCTTCAGGGAGGAGCCTCAGCTAGTGGAAGGAAAGAAAGGCTTCCCTTTGTCTCCTGTAGGATTGAGGCAGCCTGGCCAGTTCCCTCCCTCCACCTGGGGAGAGGAGGAGGAGGAGCCTCAGCCAGTGCTTTACCAGACTCTCTCAATTGCACAGGAGAGGCTTGACTATCTATCTATCCTGTGCAATTGAGAGAATCTGGTAAAGCAAGCTGTGACATGGCAGCAGCAGCAGAACTGGAAAATTAAGCAGAAAACTGCCAGGTTTTGTGGGCTGGAATGAAGCCCTCCAAGGGGCTGATCTGGCCTGTGGGCTGCACATTTGACACCCCTGAGTTAGAGTGTCTGACAGTGACCAAGAAGACCAAGGTTGGAATCCCCACTCAGAAGCTCTGTGGCTGATGTGTGACCAGCAACTCTCTTTCACTCTCAGAGGATTTTCATGAGGGGTAAAATGGGGGAAGTGGAATCCTATATATGAACTTCTTTGAGGGACAATAGGATAAATATGTTATAGGATTCCTGGAAAGGGAATACACAACCATCTATTTGCTGCTACAGAAAAGTTGTGCAAGCTGCCTCCTGAGGCAACCCAGTAATAAGCCATCCTTAAAAGCCTTCTATGTGTATCATTAAAAAAAAGGTTTGTGATGCAAAACCATAGCTGCAACGATGACCTCCCCACCACTAGAAATGGTTGATTCAGTAAAAATATAGAAGAGCCAAGTTTTAATAAGCATTTAAATCTATTTTTGCCATTAAATTTATTCTTTCCTCAGCTAAAAGTGGCGGTTTCATTGCCTTTTAATGATGATGGTACTGTCCTAATCCACAAGGGAATGAGTGCAGAATGACATGAAAAAGCTTTCCTCAAGTCACCTGTGACAAAGTGACTTGACCCTGACCATGACTGGAACAAGGTGGTTGTTCACTCTTTGTGAACATTTAACCTTTGGTCTCTATGATGAGATTACAAATAGGAGAGTCCTTGAATGGAAGTAATTTGCTATGTAAACATTTATCCACTCAGAAATTGACTTCTGCTACCAGCTCATTATGAAGGTACTGATGTAATAGGAGGGGATCAAAGAGTTTCCATTCTAAACACTATTGACCTCTCATCATGTGCACAAATAAGGTTTTGTTTAGTATGAAAACTCTGCACTGCCCAGTAAAAAGCAGATGATTCAATAAACAAAACAATATTTATAACAAGATCTAATTTACTTTTCCTTGGAATATAATGAAAACAAAACAGTGTTTTTACTGATAAAATGGTCCAGTCCTTTATTTTTTGTTTAATAAGAGCTTCCCTGTATTGCCCCCATAGCTGGAATAAAGAGATTCACACTCGTGTGGTGATATAAATAAATGGCAGCTTTATTAACTTTTAACTTTAGATGATGAAGTGAAACTTGGCAAAGGCCAATTAAAACATAACCCTAGGCAAAAGGATACCTCCAATTCCTTTCCTGGCCAAAAGTGGGTGAGCCACAGAGCCCCTGGTACAAGCCAATGTCAACATGGCTATTCCCAGGTGGCAAAATATGCTAATAATCCCCTGAAAGGAAGCCAGCCACCTCAAGCTGCCAGACTTGAGGGGAGACTGAATCTAGGGGGTATTGCAGGCCATCTGAAATCCTCACCCAAAGCCCATGCCAAGGTATGGTTCCCACAAAACGTGCCCACCCCCCAATCTGTTGGTGCTCCCCACCCTACAAAAGCAGCCAGATTCCTGCCAGAGAACCTAATTAACAGCACCAACCCTGAGCCAATTACCCAACTGCATCATACAGTGTGAGTTAGGCAAAAACACCTCCCCTTTCCATGCCAATTTGAAAGATAGAGAAAAATTCCTACTTGGCCCCAAAAGTGGCGAGCAGAAAAATCCCACATTGTACAAGGAGGGCAGGTGGACTGATTGAAACAAGAAGGCTGCCCATTAGAAGAGCAGGCAGAGAAGCTAAACAACAGGTTCTGCCCCCTTCAATACTTGCATGGGCAGGAATCACCCAGCAAATGTTTTCCTCCTTCCATGGATGCAAAGGAGGCCTTCCATTCTAAAGCAACCACAAGGGTTGCAGCCTGGTAGGGCCATATAATATCCTATCAACATAACTATATATCCAAGCTAGGGATGGGCATGAACCGGTCAGATCGGGACTCAGAATACAACATTTGGCACTCACATGGTCTCTGAAGAAATCTGATTTTTTGGGGGGTGGCTTGGGGGGCAGTTCAGGAAAATGACAAAACTGGCGCAGAAATGCTAGGCAAAGGTGGGGGTGGTGTTTACAAACCTTGAAAACAGCAACAGGGACCCTCCAAATCCTGATAGGCAATGCTGCCTGCCAATAACAGAGCTTCCATTTGTCATGATGGATGTGCTATATAAGTCCGAGAGAAGTGCATGTGTCCTCTGTTGGGTTTTGGTTGGAGATGGAGAGGGAGGAGAGAGAGCATTGAATGAAGAGCTTTCCTGGGCATGGGGAAGGATCGCACTCAGTCAGGCCAGGGGGCTTTGCTTTGCCCTGGGTTCCTTGGCCATTTGTATTTGTTTGTTTGTTTGCTGTGAAGTGGGAAAGAACTGGAA